ACGCTACATTTTTTCTTTTACTAAAATTGATGTACGCCTCAGTGGTCTAATAGATTGAAACATTACCTGTGCAACGTTTAGTAGATAAGTCTTTTTAACACATCTCCGGGTTAGTAGGTTACATCCAATCGATACATCCGTTATCTGTATTATGTTTTTGAAAATACCACTAAAGAGTTTGGTGGACTTAACAAGTCATAATAATGGGTGCTCTATGGCGTATGTGGGCATTTTGTTTTCATTGAAAATTATTAAACGTAAATCGTTCATCATAACTCTCACTTTGTGTTTCAGTCTTTGTTTGACGGCTGCGCAATTATTGTCAGAACTACTAAAACGCTCGCGATAAATCATTTTAAGTTATAACCTAATGCGATTAAGCGAACAACTGCAAATTTATAAATACAATTTTCACACGATACTGAATATTATATGAATTATTATTGATAATGCAAATAAACTGTATATACGTTATAACTTATAATATATAAGTACTAGATACTGCTATAATACATAACTATATCGAATTATATACATATACTTGTTTATAATGTGTCTAAATATTATAACAAACCAACAACGAATTCGTTGATGTTTCCGAACAGATGGAAAATATTATTGAAACTATGAAAGCTTTGGTCATTAAATTTGCCCACACCGCTATTACAAGTCAATTCTTAATAGACACAATTTGTTCATATTTTATAATATTATCAAATTAACGATTACCCATTTGAGGTACTTGAATATTGAAGTTTTTTTTTTTGTTCGTATTTATTTAGATTATTGACAATATCAATAAAACATAATATTGATTAATACAATTTATGAACACATTTTATGTTTTTGATTATGAATTCAAATAGTACCTTTACAATAATATGAAATAAAATTAAATCATCTTAGATAACTTACTCTGCGAGTTAAAGTACTCTCAAATACATACTCGTTCAACCTCTTTGTTACGTCATAAAATCTTTTGAAAATAAATTTCGTTTTCATTGTTTTTGTAAATATACAAGTACGTTCACCCAGCAGCAGTATGTTATAGAACTGCTCACGCAGATCAATAATAGCGTGTCGAACATAATATATTTTGTATTTTGCGGATCAGTTTTGGTCGATTTACTCTAAATTTCATTGCTAGGCGCGCATCTGGAAACCATGAACAGTATAATAATAATATAATATTGTAATATTTTTCCTATATTATTACGATGGCTGGTCGGCGGCGATAACGGTATATCGTAGTGATTCCCAATTAAATTTCTACACAACGAGTGTTATGGGTAGTTGCAGCCGTACAACTGGCGTCTAGAAAATCATTTTCCGATTTTCCGTTTCAGATCAAACGGATTTCGCGTTGTATCGTGGCGATATAGATATACGTACCAGCCGTTTATAAAATATCGAATCCGACGAATAACGCTGTCCGATTTGCATGCATCGAGCGGCGGCGGCGTCACATATTACGATTAGGTATAATGTACGCCCATAGTATAACGGCGGCTGTTTGTTATCGATATTAATAATATAACTATAATAAAATCATATAGTATAGGTATTATGTGCGCAGTAGAAAGTATTTCTAATCAACTCCGAGGTAGGCACCTAATCTCGCCGGTACACCGTTTACGGCCCGTGTAATATAAAACTATGTTTTCGGACTTTCAGTTTGAATTTGTATTATATTTGTGAATATTCTCACCGGAAGAAATTTCTTCGCTATATACGAGTATATGACCACCAACAATACGTCGTGTGCACGTAGGTGTAGGTACTTATTTGCGTCTCTTCTTCTTTATCCGGGTGTCATTGTGCGAAATCGTTTTCGGTACCTATATTATTCGACGGGATAATAAAATAATAATAATAACGCACATTTTCGATAAATATTTTAAATTATTTGATAAATATTACAATGTACCTACTACCTAGGAGTATACAGCTGGGCGCTCGCGGTTTCGAATACAAAAACATAATAAACGTGCCCAGTGTAATATTATATTATAATTTATAACAATATAATATATTATACCTAACCTGCGCAGAGAAATCACTTGCGATTATAACAATATTCTTATTCGTACTTACATCTACAGCACTTCTTAATCGTTTTGTCGCTGCACACGTGAGAATAAAATTTTCACATGTTGTTATACAGAGGATAGTTATATTACATATTATATATTGTGCATCGTTTGTCTTTGTCGGAGACTCGTACAACGCTAGGTAGCCTATCTTGTTTCGGGACATGTTCCCAAGAATAAACACAATTCAACGCATAAATACAACGTATAATATAATGTTAGGTACAGCTATATGAATATGCCTATCCACCTATTATAAAAAAACTGCACTACCGTACAGGATGGAAAGTGTACAACATCCTTTGGAGTCTATAATATTCCTCGATTAAATAGTTTGCGCGTTTATACGCGTAAAGCATACACAACGTACGATCCCAAGGAATTTAATTACGGTTTAATAATAGGTAACGTGTCTACCTACTAAATGATATATTTATTTTAGGTCATAACTATTATGTTATTGTATTATTATATTTCCATGTGAAATGTATGAACAATTTTTAATCTCATATTTTGTTCTACAATCTTAACCTTGATCGAATTTGTAAAAAAAAAAACCCATTAGATATATGTGTGTTTTGGGTTAATAAACATATTATTTTGGTAGTAGAGAAAATATATTACAAATAATCTTATTAAAATATATGTATTACCAAAAAAAGTAGTATAATTAATTCAACATAAATCAATATTAATGAAAAGTCATCATTAAAAAATATATATTATCGTTTCACATAGGTACATAAACAGATAGAATACAATATTATCATTAGGTATAGTAACCATAAAATATCATTAGTATATTAATTGAACGTTGATATCCAAAAATATCTTTAACTTCCCTACAAAACTTAATGTATCAATTAGATATTATATGAATGTCTTTTCTTTTTCTTTTTTATCAGCCTTAATAAAAAAAATTAGCTCAACGATTAAAGTATCTTACAACTAAACAAAATAAAATAAACAATATGTGAATATTAACGAGTTATACAAAAAAAAAAATTGTATGAATGTCTCATGAACCAACTTTATTCATCTGATAAATATCAGAATATAAATATTTAATTTATATCAACAGGCAACAGCATAATATAGTACGAATAGTGGATAGATTTGTATGAACATGTTTTAAGATTCAACTGACATCCAAATACAAATATTAAATTTATATCAACACTATTGTAATATAATATGGATCAGATATATTTATGCATATATTTTTGTATTCAACTTATAGCCAAGTTCAAATGTCTAGTAATGTACATATTATATGGCATATATAAAGTCACTCACATAATATCAATCTGCAGATGTATTTAGAATATCTGTTTACATCAAATTAATAGATATATTATTTAATAATCTATCACGCATCAATAAGATATGTTGTCATATACGTCATTATATTACCCTGTAATATTGCAAGGCAGTAAAATTGTTTCGATATACTGACAAAACACGGTAGTCGACGTTCAAGAGACAAAAACCAAACTTTTGTAGCCGAATAAAATGAACAGTGCGAATACCTTGCCAGCAGAAGAGAACTATTTTCGGGTTGGGTAATATAAGACGCAGTGCATTCTGATCCCGCTCAGGCGGACGTGGAAATAAAACAATATAACGAGACAGAAAACCTGTGATCGTGTGGACATCGTCGTCGGTTGATGTTCATCCGAGATATAATATTATTATCATCCAGGAATCTGAAATGCTCAAAACGAGAGATTTACGTGGCAGATTTCCTGAATCGAGTACAACTTATATTGTACGGTGTTTATTTCACATGCCCGGTTTACACGACAATGACGCATACAGTTATTGTGGCTATACGGTTTTAATGATTAATAATGTTATTAGTCGTCCACTAGAAATATACTTTTTGACAATTGTGTGTAGCTGTGCTTACATCGGTAGTGAAAGAAGAGCTATAATATGAACTCAGGGTTGGGAAAAATAGTTTTTATTTTAAAATTAAACTTTAATCGTTAAACTTTCTTCATTTTGTTTTTGTTTTTATGAAAACATGAATTAATTCAAATTTAATACAATAAAATTGTACAAAATAGGTTTTAATTCAACTTAAAAATAAAATAACAAATATACTATACATTTTTTTTTTATCAAGTAGATTTAATATAAATTAAATATCATAATTGAGTCGAATAAACACGTACTTTTATACATTTATGTCATACATGATATTACATTACATCCTAATGTATCAAGTACTAGACATCATATCATATAGACTCGCCACTGTACTGTCATAATTTTTTAAGACAATTAATTAGTTATAAATTATAATATTATGTACGCGTATATTAATACTTTTAACAACGTGAAAAAATGGTAAAATAAATATGGGCAATGTGGGAGAAATCATTTCATTTGGAAAAAAAGCTCTGTTATACTACTTTACTGAGGTTCTCGAATTTTATTTCGGTAATATTCGTATGACCAACACTCACAACGAGTGAAAGTCTTTCCGTCTACACGTTATAAAAACGCATCATCACAAGAAACAATTAATACGAGTACACCTATTACCTACCATACAGACGCTTATTGGGTAGCCTCAAATTAAATGGACATTTATTTCGCGAAAACGGCCAAGTAAGTAGTATATCGGCGTGCGCCCGAGGTGAAATAATAACATATTACACTCTACTACTCCGGAAACTATTACCCCGCACACACCCTCTCGCCGAGGCGACCCTGCTGAAACAATATTATAATCATCTGCCGTTGTCGTCGACTTCTCAGATCGTGAGAGAATAAGAAGAAAGCACAGTGTTAGAGGTCAAGTGCGCGTTCGGAGGGGCGCCGCCCAAGAGCGGACCAGGCCCGTAGTCGAGACTCGCGAGCGTTTTCCGCTCCCCGCGACGCGGCGGCGGTATATATACCGAATGTCCGGGAAACCCAGCTGTCAGTGCACGTTCCGGCGTCGAAGCATCTACAGCAGCTACTATTGGGGAGATTTCACACACCGCCAACAGTGAAATTCGATATATTCACGTTTATCTCATATTATTTACCATAATATTATAGGTCGTACTACACGCCGTGCATTAATTTTCGCAATAAATCGATACGACCGGGTCCAGTGACAGTTCGTTTGGAAAACTATAGTATTATGAGTCGGTTACAAACGGTGTCGGTGTGCGTGATGGTCATTTTGGCGTTGGGCGGCCGATCCAAAGCTTTCTGCGGGTTACGATCCGGCGACAGCGACGAAGGAGGCAGCGTAGACGACTTCATCACGTGTCTCAAAGCCAAGGCAATCGTCACACTGGACCGCATGTCTCGAGACGATTCGTTACCCCTAACCGGATCAGTTACCCTGGTCCACGGCGACTCAACTCACCGCAGACAACGGTCGGACCAGGGCCCAGTGGTTTCAGAACGTGAACTCCAGTCGAAACCAGACGACGCACTCAACCGCATGCTTTACGACAAGGCGATCGGACTTCTCAGTGGTCGAGTCGTCAAGGTCGGTTTGCCCGAAGTCACACCAGACCAGTTGAGGACAGCTCTGGAAGAAGGTAAAAATGATTTGAAACAAATACGTATATAGTCCCATAGACATAGGCAATATAAATATATGTTATGTCTATCTATGTAGAAACTAAAAATCTTACTGACGATTCACAAGCAAAGAGTCAAAATGTTGAGAAAAGTGTAAACAACTCCTATTTTTATTTTCAAAAATTGACATTTGGTTAAATGCAGATTTCTAATTTTTTTTTAACTTAATTAATAGATTTAGAGTAGTTTTCAGATATAAAACACTCAGTTTATAATACTCAGTCCACAGCTATAAACACAATAATAGATTTAACGATAAAAAAAAAACATTACTATTTGTTTTATTCACCGGAGTTTTAGAATTTATACTTTCGATTGGAAATCTCAAATGTCTGCGTTTCAAAATAGTGAAATATACCTCGATAAATTTTTACTGAAAAATATTATAAACTTTAAATATTAATTGTATTTACACAAGTAAAATAACTAACCTATACTTACCAAAAATTAAATTAAAAAAATATGCAGTATTAATCATTCAAATATAATATCTAGGTACATAATGTTAAAATAGTCTACTAAATATAAAATACTACTCATTAAATAAAAACCATGAAATTCCTCATACATATTAATATACAACTAAGTAATTTTTTTTTTTTTTTAAACCTGACATTGTCGTCTAAACGTATTGTTAATACATTTTACACATTTTTGACATTGAGGTAAATAGATATCGATAATATAAATTAGTAAAATATTATAATGTTTCAATATGTTTAAAAATATCATGTTCCGTAGTCTAGAATATGATATTAGTGAAAAATATATTAATGCATTAACAGTTAAATACATTTTACAATAAGATGTTATTATAATTATGTATATAATTAGTATTATAATTTAGACAGTCGTGCGTCCGTTCACGCTTTAGTCAGCGTTCAGATAGTGGATAACTTCAAATTTTCGTAAGACACAATAACTTTATAAAAATGTATTTGGGTTAAAAAATAGTGCAAATAATATGGATTGAATCGGCCAAAACAGTAATTTAATGTAATATATTATATAATGAATATATCTTTAATGCTGCAAAATATTGTTTTCTAGTCATTTCATCATCTGCAGCAATGATAAAAAAAAATGTAAATAATATTATTTTATCATTCAAAATAATTATAGTTTTGGACATTTGGTTTACCATATCGAATATTTGCAGTAGACGTAACCACAATGGGGTGGTAAATGGTAATATTATATAGGGCTAAGGGTAGTGTGCATAGATTAATTGGTCTATCGGATTGGCCGGCGGCGACCAACGCGTACCGATATTATCGTTATTGCATTATGCGTCTATCGGGAGGGAACCATAGAATTTCGAGGCATGAGTGCCTGTTTGTGCTACATATTTTCACAGACGGGTGGCTCGTCGTGTGTTTCATTCGGACGGTACAGCACAATTGACGCGTAGCGATTTTTCAAATATCAAATGCAAATGTATAAAAAAAAAAAAAACTAAACAAATGAAAACCGAAACGGAATTAGTGTACCGTAGGTATGTATTGTATATAATACTATATACATAAATATGAAAATGGTATTACAACAATATCGCACGCGCGCGATAGTGTGTGTGTGTGTCAGTCCGTCACTAATACGAGAGCGGACTCCATTCGGACAGACATACCGCACGTTTTGCACCTACATTTAAACGATTTTACAATAATAAAAATATGTAATTATGTGTGTGTGTGTGTGTGTGTGTGTGTGTGTGTGTGTGTGTGTGTGTGTATAATATATATATTATTATCCTTTCGCCGGGGCGCTAATTACACGCGATATGAGCAACATACAATGGAGACGACGACAACAATAACGACAAATCTAGGGCTGTGGATCGTTATTTGTTACAATAATATTATGCGATTTTCCTTTTCGCGCACCTAGATAAATATATCATTATTGAATCTCTCTCGGCGCGCAAAAAATCGAGTCGTCCTGGTCCGATGGGCTCGAACTTTTATTTTTCCATATGGGTATTTGGTTTTTCCGAATGTTCGTCCCGATCGTTTTCCGCCGCAGCAACTTGTTTCGTTTCAATTGAGTTTGGAAACGCTATAAAAAATAATATACATATACTCTATGTATTCGAGGTAACAGTACAATGCTCATTAGTTTTGAAAACTTCTCAGACTTCCTATAATATTCGGATGAAATAAACGTAAAAACAATATTTGTATATTTTAGTTACAAACAATATAATATAATATCAATTAGAGGAGAGGACACATAGCCATAAGAGGTCATTAAATATGCATTTGAATGCCCAAAATATGCATTTTAAAAATACAAACAAGAATATTTTTACTAATTTACTGAATTTATTATTTGGAATTAGTCTTATTTGTTTCACGTGTTACAACTTAAAGTACTAAATTTAGTTATAATTAACAATAATAATAACTTACTAATGATATTTCTCGGTAAATGTTTGCAAAGGTCGTGGAAAAATGAAGAAAACCATGGGAATGATGATGACGATGGGTGCCATGAAGGCGATGATGATCATACCGCTGGCGCTCGGCATACTGTTTCTGATGGCCGGAAAGGCGTTGATAATCAGCAAAATAGCGCTGGTCCTGTCGCTGATCATCACGCTCAAGAAGCTCTTGTCCAAGTCAGGTGGAGGCGGCGGCGGTGAACACATGATCCACGAGTCCCACTCGTCTTCCGGTTCCGGCTGGCCATCGGGCGGAAGTTAGGGCGGCCATGGAGGTTGGGACAAGAGGTCTTCGTCGTCGTCTTTGTCGTCGGAGGCTGCTGCTGCTGCAAGTCAGATGTTGGCCTACAGATCTTACAACACGCCATAATTTATTATATAAAATTTGAATTACAAAAGTTCAAATCAACGTGTCATTCGACACCGTGTGCACGTCATGCACTGTACATATGACACGATTATTTATTATATTAATTAGTAGTATTTATTATTATTTATCATCATCATCATTATTGTTGTTCGTTTATAAAACGCTTATTTCATCCATCTTTATAGTATGCAATAAACATCCGAGACCTAACATCACAGTACCACGGTACCTACGCAAAATATTATTTATAATATTTCAATGAATTGCTGTTTTTGTACTAATATTATAGGACAATACAATGTTTTAATAGTTTATTCGTCGTTCATCTATTTTTTATTTTTATAATGTTCTATTGAGTGTCATTTTGTTACGATATTAGAGGGTACTAATAAAAAGTATAGTACGTTTTACATTAATTTATAAAATGCACTATCGATCATCACATTATTGTCGTATGGTTGTAAAATATAATAATTTTTTTGTTATTATTTAATAAGAAATAATAATTAAAATAATTATGTACAACCTTATTGTTTTTAAATATTTGACTGTATTTCTAGAAATAATAGTGATTCAAATTTCATGCTAACATGGAAGTTTCATAAACTATTTTTTTTTCGTTTTCGTGATCTAAAATAATTAAATATAAAAGATACTCAATAACGATAAATTATTATAATTTGTTTCAAACTAAATAGGTCTGCTTTTAAAACGTATTATAGTGTCTTAGTTCGAGTGAAAATAAATAAAAACTTATATTTGAATGTTATTATAATAATATGTTACATACGTTTGGATGGAAAAAACCCTTGAAAGTTCTCAAATATACAGAGAGATTCACCAAGCATGCTCATCCCCCATTTTTTCTTTAATAATGAATTTATTAAAGTTCTGATTTTTAGAATTTTTAAATATACTCGAAGACATATTTTCGAATTTTCAAATTTTTTTGTTCTACTAAATGGGTATCTTGTTGTGATACTATCTTCTGTTTCTCAAATGAGAGCCCTCCTCTTTTACTGTAAATGTATCAATAAGTTTAAAATTGTTTCGTAAATTTTACAAAATGCATGAAATTCAAATTGCAAATACAATTTGAATGCACCACATTCAAAATTTGAATGAGTAGTTTCTTAGTTGCCTACTAAAATGTTTGTATTAAGGATCAATATACGTAAAATTGGATCTAGTATTTACTATACTTCTACCATTTTTACAAATTATTAACATCAATAGATTAATATAAATTACTATAATTTTCAAAAAACCATAACCCCCACATCGTATAAATGCATTACTATGGACCTTTTGTCCTTAGAACACAAAAGTGAATTAACTTAAAAACTACTAGTACTAATTTTGATTTTGATACTCCGAAGATATCAGAAACAATATTTTCTGTATAATTTATAGTTATCTCAGGACACTTCTTAAAAGTCTCAAGAATTTGAAAATATAGTCTTATAAAGTATATTATTTAAAAATTAAAAAATAAGATTTTGAATAATTGCATTATTGAAGAAAAAGGGGACGAGCATGCTTGGTGAATCACCCTGTAAAGTAGACTTTGTATAAAACATGTTTGAGGTTGCCATTAGGTTTTGATATTCGTTAAATTTTTTTAAAACCACTGTCGATAAAAAAATATTTACTCGGGCAAAAAATTTGAAATTGTAATACAATGTTTCTCTATAGTTTTTGACAATGAAAATTAAAATAAAAGTTAAGCAATAATCCACAATAATTTGTGATGAGGAGGGTTCGGATTTTATAGCATTTAAAATTGCTTAAATATGAGCTATAATATAACCTTAACTATCTCTAAATATGCGTTAAAAATATGCAATAAAAACAACAAAATATGAAGAAAAGAAAGGAAATCTATATTAATTAATCAATAATCACTTACAAGTTTGAAATTATTATACGTAGTTTAATCACTCCTGAAGAATCCTGAAGTTCTGTAGAAGAATGACATATTTAATTATTTTAAACAAATTTTAAATAAAAAGTAAGCGATTTAAAATGTTTACCTCGAGTGTTACTTTGAATTATTAAATACTTAGCCAGATTATCGAATTTGAATTTACGGTGGTTGTCTGCCAACAAAGTCTTATTGTACGTCGAAAATAAACGTTCGACGTCCACTAATACAATTGGTGCATATTTGAAATATACAATATCGCTACATGTAAGTTCACCAAGTAATTCACCAATATTTTTATTTTCTTCACCATCCAAGATATTTGAAATATGTTTTAATTTAGACAAACTACTATTTTTTTCTAAAACGTTTTTTAATTTGAGATAAATTGGTTTACCATGTTCACCATTCAGTGTTTTCAGTGTTTCTTCGATGTATATATATATATGTATATATTCACTTTTGGCATTTTAAAACTACACGTTAAACCGAAAGGTGAAAATACAACTTAACACACGAGTACGGGCACAGAGACGACTGTATAAAATGAATTCACTAGGTATACGATGTTGATAATCGGCGATTAATAATCGCAGTAGAAATCGATAAAAAAAACCCAACAAAATCAGCATATTATAACAAAAATATCTTAGTATATTATATTATACCCATATAATATAGGTATTATTAGATTATACGTTACATCATCGTAATCGGTCTATTTACTTAATCTATAGGTACATTTAATTATAATTTCATAAAATATGACAGATTTTGATTCAAACGCAGGTAAAAATAGAAAAAAGTCTCAAAAACCCCCAAAAAAGTAGTAAAAACTAAAAAATCTTTAAATATGCAAAAAAAAGGCAAAATAAAATTGTTAATTAATAATATAAATAATATAATTTATACTATGTACATTGCATGAACTAGGAAAACACAATTAAATACGCCTATTTATACCGCCGTGTATAACCCTGACTAAGTAGCTTACTGTTCGTAAAAATAAATTATAATCATTTTTCAATTAATTTGCAATTTACGAGTACCTTACCAACACGCCATAACAATGAACACCGGGTAATTTGTACACCGGGTCCGGGCCCCTAACGAAAAGATCAATTATAAATGATACCGAATAAAGAATATTATTATGAACATTCGATGTGTTTACCGAAATTTGTTGACAATTCAAATTTAAAGTATTAATCATCAAAAAAATAAATTGACAATAAAAATGGGTATTTTATTTTTTTGCATAGAGACGAATTTATCTAGATGAATGAATTTTTTATCTTAGATAATTATTTAGATAAAATGCAACTATTTAATAATAGTATAATTATAAGATAATAGATAACTAAATAATTATCTAGATAAGTCTCAACACTGTTCCTAAGTTAAAGAGGAGGGAGGGCTAGGTCAGGTTGGCTCCCCTAAGTAAAAAAATTGTTTTTCAAACAATTTAAATACTCAGATGTATTTAAAAAATAAAAATGAACCTAACCTAACCTACAATATATATTTTAGATTGTAACTGGTTTGTTATGAAGTCAATATGCACCATATGTCAAGGCACCAAGTATAATATTTACCGAAAAACCTAAATTCATTGTGATAATAATGTAATATAATGTAATGCATAATATGTCAGTATGATTATTGTTTAAAATGAAATTAGTGAATTATAGATTGATATAATATAAGTAAATGATACTGAATTCTTGTTCTAAAAAGAAATGTTCAAGAACATTAAAAATATTGAATAAACAAATGTTGTAATAAGAATAATGCATTTACCTCAAACATAATCATAATGTATTATATTTAAATAGTATAATATTAGCTCTATTAATTAGTTATTTAAATCACAGAAAAATATTTTAAGTTTTAAGTTTGATTTATTTTTTTGAGTCTCAGAAAAGTGATCCAAATGTAGACAACCCAGTCTCTATTAAATGATAATGATACATAATTTAAAACAAGCTATGCTTTTGTGTCAAAATTGCATATACAACGCTACGTGTTTATAAAATATATAAATGTGGTGTTTTATTACTTAAAATATATATTATGTGATATTTATTATTTTAAACTGGATAATTTTCAATAATTTTTTAGCCTTGTTACCATTGTTATTTTAATTTTCAACCAATCAACAAATAAGGAAAAGTCAAAATGCCATATTATTACTATGGTACCTCACAAAACCTTTAGTGGTAAAATATATTTTCAGTCTAATAATTAAATTGCATAGTTTTTTTTAGATTAAATGGTTAGGTTATGTATTAATTGATATTTTTTTCTTTTTAATGGCTGTTTATATGGAATAGCAAAAGTATAAGTTATGGTTGTTTCAGTGCAACAAAAGTGTGAGTCTGAATGGTGAATTATGAAGAGAAATAATATAAAATAAATTAAGATAGTACATTATCAATATTATGCAATTCTGGGTAAGTTAATGACATCATATAAATATCTCAATTAATTTGAGTCAAATATTTTTCCAATTATATCAATTGTTATTTGTATACATTCTTTAATTAAAAAAAAAAATTGAAATTCATTTTTCTCATTTACTAACCAAATAGTGAAACAGTGGTGGTTATTCGAAATTAGAATTGGTCGTTGAGTTGGAAAATTTGTACATAGCCTTTGTCTATATTTTGTTGTAGGGCCCAAGTAGCTGATTATAGCAAGAAGGTCTTTTAACGTTTGTCACGAATCAAAAATAAGTGTAGCAAGAAAAACGTCTATTTCAGTTTTGCTAACTATCATTTTAACCTAACAACCACTTCTGAAATAAATTATAAGCACTTGAATAATAATTGCATATATTGAAAGTTCATTTTCTGTAGTAAATACTTATAGTATTTAAAAGTTATATGGTTGTGTTAAGATACTGCAACTGAATGAATAATGAATATATTATATAACTACCTATATAGAATTGGTACTCCAATTATAAATACATAGTAAGAGAAAAATAGCAGCAGAAGACTTATAATTGTAATAATTGTAACTGGCACAATCTACGGTAATCCTATCTATAAATAACAATAATGTTGAATATATTATGTGAGAATTATAATACAATTATGCCATTATGGGCGGTGGATATCAAGTATTAATAGAAATTATTTGCTTGAATATTTCACTTCCACATTTATTAGATTTTACAATGGTTCGTAATTTGTTTTATCTTAAAATAACAATACGCAGTTCTTCGTAATTATTACATCTATATCCACTAATAGCATTATTTTATTCTTACAAAGTTTTTAGAGTTTAAAAAAATGAAGCGGTATTGAAACCCGAGGTATCAATAACCGAAGGAAACATTTTAAGGCCCGGAGAAGACGTTATAGAACAATATCTATAATTAAATAT